CACAATAGCTGTGCATATAGAACAATGATGCATGAGTAGAACGTCTTTTAATTCCTGTGTGAAACCTCCATTATCTACCTGTAGCCCCCTGAAATGTTGCAATGTAGAGTTTCTTCATAGCTGTAATTACACTTTCTGTCACTCTTTTGTTTCCTGGAAGATAGTTCTTCCTTTCCCCCAATTCTGGTATGTACTCTTGCATTTGAAATTAAGAGTATAGTTTTCTGGCAAAAACTTACTTCAAACACTTGAGACGGAATTTTATGTGTGAGCAAAATGAAGCAGAAGCAAAAAGAAAATCTCTTGGAATTTCTCAGTAGAATTTCTCAAATACAGGATAAGGTGTCTGTAAGGTGTACCACATTAAGACTTCATCTATACACACAGACCAAGAAGCTGTCCTGGTGACTTTCTTTACCAATCCTTTGTCTCCTAATACTTCCTTGCCTTGCCTGTGCTATTTATGGTTTTGGTTTCCTATGTATGTAGCTTTACTTGTAATTATCACTGTGGCTTCCTTTAGCAACACATCATTTTGTTAGTGTCTCTTGTTCATGCTACAGTGGGTGGAAAGGGGTGAGAGTATCTTTGTGTCCAGTTATTGTTGGGAGAAATAAATGTAAATATAACCTTAGTAGAGGTGGAAGAGTGTGTATGATGAAAGAGTGAAGGAGATTCCCCCTAAGCCATGACACATCCTGTTTTATGTAGGCCTATTATCAATACTGTGTTTTAGAATCTTTCTGTTTCTTCTAAGGATAGTGGTAAGCAGACAAATGTATCTTTCTTCTTGGGGCAATCATAGTGTTTTATCCTCTCATGATACATTCTTTACAGTTCTGAGAAGCAAACTGCCAGTTTTGCAGGGTTGGAGAAAAGACAAGGGATCTCTGGAGAGTGGAACTGTAGAGAAACAGATGGTCATTTCTTTGTCTGTCATAGTTAACACAGCTTGCACCTGATGGAGGACAATGCACTTGAGTTGCTTCTATTCAAAAGTTTGCCCTAAGAAATTTTATTCTACCTGATACAAAAAAGAAAAATTAAAAAATGTATCTATATCTATTTTATTAGTGAAAGGATGACTAAGGAGAATCTCCATCCTTTGTTGGATGGGAATATGTCTTTTGTGGAGGCTGGTGTAGTGACAAAAGATGAGGAAAAGGTTGAGGTACTTAATGCCTTCTTTGCCCAGTATTCAATAGAAAGATCACTTGTTCTCCAAGTACCCAAACCCATGAGCTGGAATTCAAGGATAAAGAGCAGAATGACAACCCCATAATGAGAGAATTCAACTTTGCAGCAACCTGCAATGGCACACACAAAGATCCACCCAAGGGATGCTGGTGGAAGAGCTCACTGAGTCACTTCCCATCATTGTTCAGCAGTCCTGGCTAACCAGGGAGTTGCCAGTTGACTGGAGGTTAGAAAATGTGACACCCGTCTACAGGAAGGGCCAGAAGGAGGATCTGGTGAACTGCAGGCCTGTAAATTTTGGAGCAGATCATCCTGAGGGCCATCACATGGCATTTACAGGACAAGCAGGTGATCTGGCCCAGTTAGCAGGGCTTTATGAAAGGCAGGTCCTATTTAACTAACATGTTCTTCCTCTATGACAAGATGACCTGCTTAATGGATGGTGGAAATCTATGGATGTTGGTTACCAGGAGTTTAGTAAAACAGTGTTTCCCACAGGGTTCCCCTGGAGAAACTGGCTGCTCATGGCTTGGACAGGTGTATTCTTTGCTGGGTAAAAACTGGATGGCTGAGCCCTGAATTGCAGAGAATGCAGTTAAATCCAGTTGATGCCTGGTGTTCCCCAAGGCTCCTGGACCCAGTCCTGGTCAATATTTTTATCACTGATCTGGAAGTGGGTATTGAGTGCACCCTCAATCAGTTTACAGATGACACCAAGTTGGGTGGGAGTGTTGGTCTGCTTGAGGGTAGGAAGGCTCAACAGAGGGATCCAAACAGGCTGGATTGATGGGCTGAGGCCAATTGTATGAGGAGTCAAAAGGCAAAGTCCTTGATACTGCACTTGAGGTCTCAACAGTCCCATGAAGCACTACAGGCTTGTGGAAGAGTAGCTGGAAAGCTTTTCAGCAGAAAAGGAACTGGGGGTGTTGGTCAAATGATAGCTGAATAGGAGCTAGAATTGTGCCCAGGTGGCAAAGAAGGCTGATGCATTCATGGTTTGTATCAGAAATAGCGTGGCCTGGAGGATCAGGGAAGGAATTGTCCCTCTGTACTTGGCAGTGCTGAGGCCACACTTTGAACTCTGTGTTCTGTTTCAGACCCTTCACTATCAGAATGACACTGAACTATTGAAGCACTTGCAGAGCAGAGCAATGAAGCTGGTGAAGGATCTGGAGAACAAGATTTATGAGGAGCAGCTGAGGGAAGTAAGGTTGTTTTGTCTGTAGAACAGGAAGTTCAGGGGAGAGGTTACTCCGCTTTCTCTATTTCTGGAATCTGCTTTTGCATTTGAAGCTACATGTTGTTTAGCAGCACATGCTTATTTCAACCACCTAAGGATTTTACGTGTGAGCAAGAACAAACAGAAACCAGAGGATAAGCTGTTATAATTTCTCAGAAGACTTAGGTTGAGGAAGGCACCCATGAGAAAGCTTTTAAACTCAGGGCTTCATATTTGTGTGAGAAGAGCAGGTCACATAGCAGAAAAATTGCTGAGAACTGAGGACTATTTTATCCTGTGTTAGTGTCTCTTAGTCATATTACAGATGGTATGGCAGACAGGTGTGAGAGAGATAAATTTGTGTGAATGGTGTGTGTGATAAAAGAAGGGGAAAGATTGCCCATAAGTAAAAAGAAGGATGATCCAGCCTCTGCTGGATGACTGCTCCTGATTGCCTGAGTGTGATGCATTATCCTCTCATGAGAGGTTTTGGTCAGTACAAGGGTCAGAAGCAAACCTGCAAGTTGCACAGGGTTGGAGAGAGGTGTGAATGATGACATATGGGTTAAGTGGCTTGTAATTCCTGAGCAAAACCTCCTTTCTCCACCTATATCCATCTATTACTTTTTGATGGAAAGTTTCATCAAAGCGATAATTATATTTTCCCAACCTGGATCTTAATTCATGTTTTATTTCCTGGAAGACTTCCACTTGTGAGTGTTGTTTTCCAGCAAATGCTCAATGACCTAGAGCACTACTTGAAGAGAGAATGTTGTGTGTGAGAATGTTATGTGCTTCATGTTCACAGGAGATGAGCAGGCCACAAAGTACAAAAATTCACAAGAACTGATGAATTTCCAGAAATGAACCCCCTTCTATCCAAGCCAGAGTGAGACTTACAGGCCTTGCTTTTGGGTTCAGACTGCTGTGACTTCCAGGTACAGGGGGAGATTATTTTTCAGGGCAGAGATGTGGCAAAGCACTTGTATGTTCCAGGAGTCCAGTGTTTCCCTCAGAGGGACTCACAGTTTTTGATTTTGTCTATTAATAATCAGAAACGAGTGAGAGATTTGAGTTTCTGCTTTCAAGAGGGACCTTGGGAAGAAACTTCCACACACCCATTGCTCACTCCAGGTGGGTAGCAAGGATTAAACAAGGCCAAGAAGGGTTATTGCATAGCAGGAGTCACCTCTGACCACCCTCTGGCAAGCTCTGGAACAGAGTACAGACTGTTCAGTGCTGCTGGTCAATCCCAGCTACTTGGGGATTGTTCTTATCTTTTTGGGGACTACATGACTACATGCCCCTCTGTGTGATTTCATACACTTCACAGGTCTGGATTTGTCGCAGTAACAAATAATCAGCCCTATTTGAGGCAGTGGTAGATATTTGATTTGGCTTCTCTGTTTTTTTATATGCCAGGTAATTTTGTCACTCTAATTAAAGAAAGATCTAAAGCTTAGTAAAGCCATTCAGCCCAGAGTAAGAGAGACTTAGCAGCCCTATGAAATAAGTGAAGTTCACCTAGCCTGCCCCTTGAGGTCTCAGTGACTTTCCAGGCTCTCTGGGCATGAGTTTTCAAGGCAGAGTTGTGGCACAACAACTGAAAATTACAGACCTGATGTACCTTTCTCAGTGAGGTTAGGTGGAGGTTTGGGGTTCCTGTGTTAATGGTTGGAAATCATTGAATAGCTCACAACTGTTTGTGTTGTACACACTGTACACTGCATTGGCCAGTTGACAGGACTTTTGCACAGCAGCTCCCAGTACAAATGTGAAACTGATTATTAATGAAGGGTTTGGAGTTTGAAATTACAACCAAGAGCACAGAAGTTTTTTTTCTGGATAGAAGAAGAGCCAGTGCGATGATGTGCGGTTTCTTTTCTTCGACATGGTATGGACAGGGACACTGTTCTGAGTTCAGGTCCATTACCTTTGGGCTTCACCTTTCCTCCTCAGTTCTAATAATTACTCTAAATGAGAATCAAACTCTGAACATTTCAGACTAATATGAAATTCATACTTTTACAAGATCCTCAGAGACATATGTGGGCAGGAAGATGAAACAATTCCAGTGTTAGCATAAACTGGTACAGTGCGTTTGGAAAAGCTGAAAGAGCAGTGATTGGATATTTCAGGAGATCCTCCTGCCTTTCCATTGTTCTAGTTGCAAACTAGACTCAGGGCTTCAATTTTCTGACTGTGAATGAGGAAACCATTTACTGCTCCAGCACACATGCTTATTTCCTTAGTTTTCATGACAGCTCAGAGACTAACATGCAAAAGTCAGAGTGTAATGCTGCTTCAAAAGTCTGCTGCAGCTACAAAAAAAACCTCTTAGGTATGACACGGCTATGGTTGCTGTAGATTATGTTTTTCTTTGAGCACTAAGCAAGTTCTTCTGCACTTCCTGAGTGGAATCGCGGAGAGAACCCAGCGCCGGTGCAGCCCCCAGCGCGGCCCAAAGGCGGCTGCAGTGCTGCGGCGGCGCCTCCGGGTGTCGCTGTTGGCCGCCGCCGAGCGGCGCTGGAGCCGCAGCCGCCGCCGCCGCAGCGTCCTGCCCCCGCAGGCTGCTCGCTCGCCCGGCCAGTGGCGGCCAGAGCGGCAGCGGCACGGGCAGCAGAGGCGAGAGGCGGCCAGAGCGGGCA